GACAGAATGATGAAAAACGCTGAATCATTCCCTGAATGAGACCCATGAAGAAAAAAAGAGGAACAATGCCAGCCTTGTTTTTTGGTGGCCAGTCACACAATCCCTTATAGCACAGAAAATACCTACTGGCCAAAAAAAGAAAAAGAAACAGGCATCTAATGAGTCCTCTTTATGTCATTTGAGACCTATCTAGAGATTCTTGGATGACTTTATCCAGTTATATTACCTCATTTTAAGCCAGTTTCCTTAATGATGGCTAGGTAATACTGAAATAAAGTGTGATGGGCAAATTAAACTTGATAATCTAAATGACCAGAAAATAAAAAAAATACAAATCAAGGTGTAGTAATGCCCAGATATTTTCCCATTCAAAAAATATTCACTCACAGCTGTTATGTCTTTTTTTCTTTGGTACTGTCTGTCCTGCAAATACTTTGGTCAAAGGACTAGAAAATGCCTAACAGTTAGGGATATCTTCTAAAAAGTCTTCACATCTTCTTGAGAATAGGGGCTTGGCTAATAAGTGAACTCTGTGTCATTAAAGGCTATCCACTAATATACAGAGGTCACATCGGGTCAGTGATTGGCTACAACAGCATTAAAATGATTTGTTTATCAGCACTAATTAGATTGACCAGTGCTCAGAACAAAGAGTCCAAAGAACTGACTGAAGATTTAAGAAGGAGAAACATAGGTTTGCACAAGCTGGGAGGGTCTCTTGGGGCTATTTCTAAATAACTGCAGATCTGAAAATCTTTGGTTCAAATAATTTTACGTGAATACAAGTTATTCAGATGTGTCACTCAAACTCTTACCCTCAGATGAAAGAAATTTGTTAGGTTGCTCAGGAACAAGAAAGTAACTGCCAAGACTCAGGCCTGCAATGAACAGTAAACTACTGGAATGTCAGATCTCAACCTTAATGGAAATTTGTGTACTTTGCTTAAAAGTCAGGCCTATGCTAGGAAATGGACCCATTTAAATTCAAATATCCAGAAAGAATTATCCCAGAAGCTTGTTGATGGCTACCAAAAGCATGTGGTTGAGGTGCAATTTAACTAAATTTAACTAAAATTAATAGGGGAGTATAAGTCAGTAAAGATGTATGCTATGCAATCATTCCACCCTGAAAAAGAACAATTCAAAGAAATCATTAAGAGGCCAAAATCTCCTTGAAATTCTTGTGCATCATCAGTGTCTGAAAACGTCTGGCCACAACTGTAAGCTGGGAGTAGTAATAGTTCTCCATTCTGCAACCACACAGTCTTTCATCATCATGACACATGCCTGCCAGAAGTCTGTTGTTAGTCAACAGAAATATACTGAATAGTACTCCCTTTGTTGCCAAATAAGTATTAATAATGTGACTTAAAATATAAATAAATAAATACAAAAGCTTTATCGGTTAGAAACAATAGTAGCACAGTGGTGATGCAGTGATTTACCTAAACATGCAAACATACATGGAATACAGTACATAAAGAAATAACTAAAGAATTTGTACATACAGTACTTTGCTTCATTTATTATTTCATCAGTTTTGACAAAACCACCTCTGTGTTCTAAAGACGGCTGTAGGGACTCACTGTTGTACCTCTGCTTACCTCTTCTGTACAGATTGACAATTTGTACAACTTTCCCCCCTACCTTGTTCAAATTTTTACACATTTTTTGTCCTTCCTTGAGAATGTCTTCTTCACAGACACTTTTTCCCTCAGACCATTTCTAATCGTACTTCAATGAACAGACTCAACTGAAGGGCCTATTTCTTGACTATAAAATACTGTTCATCTGCTGTAGTTTCTTTTTGGGCTTTTCCCTTCTACTTTTGTCCTACACTTTTCCAGTTTCTTCAGAACTTTTAAGAAATATCCTGCGCACAATGCCAAGGTATGCACAACTATTTTAAGTAATGTAACTATTTGGCTAATAGCTATTTGGTAAACACCTTGTTGGTGTGAAAATATTAAAATATTATTTTATGGCTGTCAAACTGTGTTATATTTTGCATCATATATTATATTTCGGAGATTCAAGTAAGGAAATGCTGCGTGTTGTTACAACAGGTTGATAGTATGTTAGTAACAAAATACCTAAGTTACCTGTTATGTGTAGACACAACACTGGTTCCTCCCTGAGTTCTCTTTTTATGTTTGTATAAAAATAAAACTCACTCAGGTGTCTTCTGTACAAGCCTTTTATGCTCGACTGATTCATATTATCAGATACAATGACTGGATTGAAAAACAGTGAAAAAGCAGCCAGTTTCCATATAAACACTGTGAAAGAGCTCAGAAAGCCTGGAGCACTACTCAGTATCACTTTAAAATTTACAGGTAAGTCCGGTTCCATGGAGGAAACATGAAAAGAAATGGGGAGTGGCTGGAGACTTTTGCACAGTACCATGCATGGATAATATGTTATGGGAGCTTTAAGATGTTCTTTCCTGCGTGCCTCAGCTGTGGTGACCATTTCTTGATATCACACATGTAGCAACTCGCACACCTTGCTCAACATTTACCTGTTATGGGAACCAGTCTGACCTGTTCAATGAAGGTGCTCCTGGTTGTTGTCACTGTACGCTAAAGTGTACTAATCCTAAGTATAAATGTATACCAATTATTGTTAACATTAAGCTGAAGAATTTCTTTTGTTGTTTGATTTGATTGCTTTTTAATTGTTATTTAAAAACAAGCGTCTGTTGTTGAAAAATACTGTAGTGAACTAATCCAGTTTAAGCTAATACAGCTTAGTGCAATCAGCATTGTTACAGTGATTGAAAGCACCATGAATCATGTAAGGAAATAGTAAAATAAAAGGAAATAAAAGCTGTTCCTGTATAGAGCTGTAACGGTCTACACAGGCTTTACGAGTCTTTCCCCAGGGCAAAATACAACCTGACAACAATTCTTATAGAATTCAAAACAACACCTGCATGCTTGTATTTATCATAGAACAAACAGCATTCTTTTTTAGGGGGGGGGGGGTAGCTCTCATCTCAACCATATGAGCATCATAAGTTGTAAATTAGCAAACCAAAAGTAGATCCGTCTAAAACGGGCCAACTGTCGTTTTAAGTTTTCTTGAAACCTGTTCAGTCACAAAGACATCCATATTTGGTGCGTTGTTATGTTGTGTCGTGCAGACTAGTCTCTGAAGTTGCGAAACATTAAAGGGCACGTCGATGTACTCATTGAGATTAGTTCTTAGCATGTCATCCTCTTGGCATTACAATGCCCACAAATGCAGTTCGCTCTAAACTGAAACTGGGCACAAACAGTTTGCATGGTACTTTTATTTATTGCATTACATCTGATCAAGCAGTTTAAATTTAAGGTTTAGTAACGCTGGGTGGTTAGCGCTTGCGTTCATCCTCATGCCCTGGATGTTTTTGTTTATTTGGCAACATAAACAGAGCAAGCACCTTCTGTTTTTCTAACACAAGTTGCAAGTGGCCTGTACTTTTTGAACACCTGTTAATTAATTTTGTGTGTAATGTGGTGGTTTGTATTTAACGGCATTGCTCAATGAATCATTGTATAAAAACTAAATAACCTGTTGTCATCTCTTTGAACAGAGATATTAATAGAATGTATTAAGGGGCTAATAGGAGTGCTACTGTCAACAGACCTGACTTCAGTAAGCTCCAAATAACAGATTAAACAAGAAAAAGACCACTGTGAACAACAACGCACAAACACACACAGACATCTTCCAAGAGTGTGATTTTAAACCACTGCCCTCTGAGAGTAAATATTAACAGGTGTGTTTTATACAGGATGTTATCATTTCGGGTCTAAAGAAGCTCCTATTTGGCAGACTGAAAGATTTCAGGTTCCCGTTGGTGTCATGTGATAATAAGACACGGCAAAAATGAGTGAGTCATTGAGCAACACACCATGTTGTGCCTAAATCATCCACTGAAACTGTGACGCTACCTGAGCAACTGGCACGCAGCCCCCAGTGATGATATCATACAGATACAAGCAAACCACAGTTTTATCTGATGAAAATCCTAGACAGTATAACAATTTCCCTTACATCAGAAAATCTAACTTTTTCCATAGGAACCAGTAACAAAACATTGATCTCATATACAAGAAGATACCTTGAGCATATGACAACTTATAACTTATAAACAGGTGCAAAAACTATTAAATAGGTCAGGTAGGTTTTACATACAAAGCTTATGGGCCTTACAGCATATAAAATAACACACAATCCCTCATCTGCAGTTTTATTTTGTTTATTTCTTTGCATCGTAACCCTTCAAGTTTGACTAAAGGGTTGGGCAACTGAATAACAACCAAAGGCAGCCGTTACTGTGAAGTCTGAGCTTGTTCCAGACAACTCCCTTTGTCATTTTCCCACAGCTCAAGCATTCAAGTCTCTTACCTGTTGTATCAAAATTTGTACTGTTGGCTTTTGCAGGGATACTTACGCATTGTTATGCTTTTTAAGCACAGTTTAATTACTTGATCGCATGTCTTGGCAGTTTTTTAAGTAACATTTTTTAACAGTTACATTTAAATTTTGTTCACCATCTGAATCTTAAAATGATCTTACATGTATGTGAATATTTTCTTATTACCCACGAGTTTGACACGAGGAGTCATGAGGTAAATGATTGCAGCATAAGGCCTATCAGGAGTAATCTGGCCCTGAAAAATCTCTCCTCAGAGTCTTAATTGTGAAAATTCCTCCCAGCCTCCTTGTGTCTGGAACCTAATCTCCATAGCCAGGCTCAAGTACCTTTAATGATCCTACCTTGGAAAAAATAGAGGTATTATGGTCCTTACCGCAGTTCTGGCTCTAAAACACTGCCTCTATTCATTTCGGGGACAATCTGATTCTCCCTCTACCTCCCTTAGCCCCCACTCACTATTCCCTCTTTTAGTAATAGTCTGTCACCTGAAATCACTGTTCCTGGTGTTTGCTATTTCTCTAACATCTCAACCCTGATGTCTTCAGAATACTGTGGAAAACTATCTGTAAGTCAAGTGGGATCTGGACTGCAAAATATACATTCTCTCTGAGGACATCCTGTAAGAGCTGCAAGTATTTAAGGACTGACATCACTGCAAGGTCAGCTTTAAACCTTTTTACTCTTTTCATGCTAACTAATATAAATTATTTTCTTGAGGCTGTAAAGGAGGTTGACAACAAATCTATCATTCTTTTTCATTCATTTCAGCATGAAATAGCATTCTCTTTACATTTGCTGACAAGCAGGGCATGTGTGCTTTCAGTGAATGATAAGAATGGTGTGAGTGCACCTGCACAGTGTAAAGTTTATGAGAGTCTTTTCTAAAAAGCTGTTTTGGAAGACATTTGGGTTCAGCTAATGTACATTTAAACAACTATTCAATTCAGATTAAGTATTATTAATATTAGTTTATATTATTTGGACAGTCAGGATTTTCTTTCTCTAGACTGAGGCATTATTGAATTTCAGAAATAACTTGTTTTCAGTGGATCTGTTATCCTGACTTGTATAGTTAATCAAAAAAAAAAGGTTAACTATACTACAAAAAAGTATAACAATTCGATCTGTATATTTAGGAACCAGTTGGAGAAGCTTTTTTTTTTTCATAGTTCCTCAAAACCTGACATTTTACATATGCATGATTGTTACTTCACAACAGTAAAGTAGTTTCAGTCATTGTTACTGCAACACATCAAAAAACATGGGACAAAAAATATCTTCTATGGGCAATGCTTCTGCCACACCCGTGAGTCATAAGGTAGCTTTTCCACCTGCAACGATTACCCAACTGAGACCAAAACTGACATGATGATACACGTTTGGGGTTGAGATTAGGGATGAGAACCGTAAGGACGTCACAGCTCTGTGTAACTTTGCATGTGTCAAGCCCCTCCTCAGTTAAGTATAAAAAAGGCCCGTTCCAGACTTATTCAAACATTTACACTTGGGGATCTTTCAAGCAAGACTAACTTTCTGGACATTTTTTGAAATACTGCAAGAAATTTTCTGAGGAAATATGGCTTCGGCTGGCTTTCAGATGCTGGGCACTGCCCTGTGCATTATTGGATGGATTGGGGTCATTGTTATCTGTGCTTTACCTCAGTGGAAAGTTACAGCCTTCATCGGCCAGAACATTGTCACAGCTCAAACTACATGGGAAGGCATCTGGATGACCTGTGTAGTCCAGAGCACAGGCCAGATGCAGTGCAAAGTTTATGATTCAATGCTGGCCCTGTCTTCAGACCTCCAGGCTGCTCGAGCCCTTACTATCATCGCGATCCTGCTTGGTGTCATTGGCATCCTACTGGCCATGGCTGGAGGGAAATGCACCAACTGTGTGGAGGATGAGAGCTCAAAAACCAAAATTGGCATTGCAGCTGGAGTGGTCTTCATCATTGCAGGTGTTTTGTGCCTTGTCCCAGTGTGCTGGACAGCAAACACCGTCATACAGGAATTCTACAGTCCAATGTTAATTGCTTCTCAGAAGAAGGAACTGGGAGCTTCTCTGTTCATTGGCTGGGGAGCAGGAGGCCTCCTCATCATCGGTGGTGCATTCCTCTGTGCCAACTGTCCTCCCAAGGATAACTACTCTGCCAAGTACTCAGCTCCCCGTTCATCTGCTCCAGCTGCAAACAAGGGCTACGTTTGAGGAGAAACAAGGAAAAGGAAAAGCTGAGAAAGCCAAGAGACTAAAAAAAAGACATGAATCAAATGCGTTGTGGTCTTATTGATTGATTCATGTTGACACTTTAAATATTTCAATATTTCTATCGTGCTTGTTTGAAAATTGCTAAGAAAAAAAGCCCACCGCACCCAAAACTGGGCGTGGTGCACACAATGTCCCATACGGTGGAGTCACAAAATGCTGTAAAGTTCATCATGCTACTTGGATTTGTTGTATTTTTCATTCATTCATTTTCCTTTGATATTATCCATTTGTATCTTTTTGCATAACATTTCATGTGTGTTCAGTGTGTTTTTTATTCATAGACGTTTTTAAACTGTAAATAAAGATGCGTTTTAAGCACTGCTCAACCAACATATTTTGTGAGTTTATCCTTTTTTTTATTTATTAAAACTGTATAATGTTAAGTTTAAATGAAGTCTTATAAAAGAGGATATGAGGTAACACCTCTGTCTTACAACAGAGGTGTTACCACCCATAACCATATTTTAGTTTATAGAACTAAATCAGTGTTTCTTTTTTGTTGGCCAAAAAAGAGTCCAAGCAGATAAAACTTATACAAATCAGAAATCAATATAATTATTAAATATATTGTAATATAATTAAATATAATATATCTAAGCACATATTTTTTTTAAAAAAATGATTAGTAGATAGTTGGGATAGGCTCCAGCGCCCCCCGCGACCCTGAAAAGGATAAGCGGAAGCGAATGGATGGATGGATTAGTAGATATATATAAGATACATATTTATCAAATCACTACTAGGAAACATGACTAATTTTTATGTAAAAATTCTTTAGTAGATGCATGAGCAGCTTAAAGATTTCCATAATGTACTTTAAAAAGAACAGTACAATACCGTGAAAAAGTATTTGTCCCTGATTCATTGGTTTTTGCATATTTGTCACACTTTCAGATCATCATGTTTCAGATCATCAAATAAATTTTACTAATAGTCAAAAAACTCAAGTAACTACAAAAGTAGTTTTCAAAATTGGTTTCACTTATTAAGGGAAAAAAGCAAACGCGGTTTGTTTAGCCGTCGATAGGACGACTTACTGAGTTTCTTATCATTGGCCTTCTGCATAACCCAGTTTTACTCGTGCTTCAGGGCACAAACTGTTTGCCCAATTTAAGTGTGAAAAATGTGCAAAAAATAAGAAATCAGAAAGGGGGCAAATATTTTTCACAGCACTGTATTCTAGGAAAATAAGGCACTCCTTTTCCCTCCAAAACTGCTTCCTCTGAGTGACTCTTTAGTGAAGCGCTCCCTATCTGAGTAATTACTTGGCCAACACTGCCTCTTGCTGCAAAGAAGATATCACATCTTGCAGTTTTTTGTCTGACTGCTGAGTGAGACAAAAAAAACTGTTTCAACAGTCAAACGGTAGCATTTTAACCTTAAAAAATCTGTTAAACCTGAACCTTCAATACATCAGTATAGTATAAATGAACAAGGTTAGTCACTTATCTGATTAAAGATTTAAACATTTAGCATAATGTCTGTGTAGGTTCTCAGTCATCCAGATCATGATATTCCAAGGAGCTTGAAAAAGAAGCGACTGGACTTCTGTAAGTTTTTGACAAGAGACCATCAAATAAAACAGGAAATTGCTAACACACTCAAACATATGAACTTGTCCCAGAGACAGGAGATAAATACAAGACAGCAGGAACAGAATGGGAACACAAAAGAGGATTAAAACCCTATAGCCAAATTCAAGCAGTAAAAACACAGATTTCAATATCACAAGGAAAGTAAAGCTAACATGGAGCTCGAACATAAATCCAATCTCAAAACCAAAAGAAAGTCATAAACCCCCAAAACACAGAATAAACCTTAAGACCTTTGGAACAGGAACACAGAACTAAAGGCATGAATTAGCACCAAAAGGAACTTGTATCAGTTGTAAGCAAATCAAGGCCAACTCAAGTAAATCAAAATAAACACTAAGAAATAACAGAAATCTAAATATCAACAATACTGACTAAAACTAAAGAAAACTTAAATATTCCCAAAACTCAAAACTCTGGATCCCAGACAGAAAGACCCTGACATTTATAGCATATTTAAATCAACTGACCAAAGTGTTTAGAGGCCATAAAAAATATACATACAATTAAAAGTGCCTGAATAAAGACATTAGAAACATAATTAAACAATAATAGAAATAAATAAGACTCTGCTTGCACAATGATAAACCAAGAATATTCTTTTAAAAGTCAGAGAAAATAAATAGGTTTTAAACAGCGTAGCGTGGCTTAGCATATTTGATTCTGCATTTTCAGCATATTTTTACACCAAATGTCCTTGCTATTGCAACCCAAAAAATTAAAAAGAAATAAAAGAAACCACAGAAGCAAAAAATTATTGTTGTTTGCTTTTTCATTTTTTTATCCAACCTTGAAACTCTGGATTTCTGGCTGGTCAGCAATAATGAAGGTCACTAGGTCTGTTTGTGTGTAAACTCATCTGGCCAATGGCAGTTGACGACTGTGGTTTCGCATTCCCTTATGTCTGTGTCTCTTTTATTTCACACAACAAACTTTAAGCACAAGCTTACAGCATTTCCTCTGCATTCTTTTTGACCTTAATGTTGGAGAAATTAAGACAACAAGATGGTTTCTCAGGGGATTCAGATCACTGGTATAACAATGGCTATAGTTGGCTGGCTCTTGGAGATCACAGCATGCGGCTTACCCATGTGGAAGGTCAGTGCTTTTATTGGTGCCAACATCGTCACAGCTCAAACCTTCTGGAAGGGCTTGTGGATGGACTGTGTGGTGCAAAGTACAGGCCAGATGCAGTGCAAGGTGTATGACTCGATGCTGGCTTTGGAATCTGACCTACAGGCTGCTCGTGCCATGATTATCATCGCGATCCTTGTTGGAGTCTTTGGACTGATCTTGTCAGTTGCTGGTGGAAAATGCACTAACTGCATCAAAGAGGAGCGATCCAAAGCAAAAGTCTGCATCTGTTCTGGGGTTCTGTTCATCATCTCGGGATTTCTCTGTCTCATTCCAGTCTGTTGGTCTGCCAACGCCGTCATCACCAATTTCTATAACCCAATGATGATGAATTTCCAGAAATATGAGCTGGGATCTGCACTGTATATTGGCTGGGCCGCTACTGGGTTGCTCTTAATGGGAGGGGGGCTCCTGTGCTGGAACTGCCCACCTAAATCTGAGCGCCGCCACTATGTGCCCAAATATGCACCTGGAAAGTCAGTCTCCACATCAAGAGAATATGTTTAAGGTGGTATTCCATTTCCACATGGACTCTCAAGGTCACAGAAATAGCAAAGGTAGCAAACTGGAGATTGCTTTAAAACTAAGATATAAATTATCCACATATTTGAGATAATGTAAATATGGCTTAAAACTACTGCTTGTTGAACGATGAGGTTTGGTCATGCTTTGTGTGGTTGTCAAGGTGATCTTTTCCACATCGGATGTTTTGTTTGGCCAAACATGTGAAGCTTATATCATAAACAATGGCTGCATTCCATTTGGAGGTACCGGCAGGGCTTTGCGACTGAGTCATTTGATTCATTGTCACATCTGCATGAAATGAAATGTTATTATTGTTACCACTGTACTATTCCTTATGTGATTTCTCAAAAGGATTGGTGTAAAATACTTTCCTTAAACACCAAAGTATTCTGTGAAAGGGGCTTTTGTAATGTCTAATTTATAATGGAATGTAGCTGTGTTCAGAATTTCTGTTATTTGTAGCATCATTATGATCGGTGTAAATTTTAAGTCAGTTTTCTGTCAATGACAAATTGATTAATATTTATATCTTCTCTCACATATTACCTAAACAACCAGCAGCACATATATAACTGCTACTCAAGAAATGTGTCTTTAAAATTGTTTTCTTTTGCAAAACACTCTTTCTTGCCTTTGATGTATTTTCCTGAAAATAGAGAATTCTCTCCATTTTTCTGTTGGTGATCACTTGTAACATTTCAGCACTGCAAATAAACTGAAGTTTGTTCTGCATTCTTGATTTTTATTTTGGTCAAATTTTAGTGTATAAACTATATTATGGAGACAGGTGAATGTTGAGGAGTAGTAAAATGAAAGTCAAGCAAAAGGTGAGGCAAGTACACAATCCTCTACTGTAACTAAAGAGCAGATTAAGTACATCATTACTCTGATAATCTATTTTGCATGCCAGTTTGTCTCAAAATATGCCATAGATCAATACTGAAATATAGTATAATAAAACTATCAACGTGAGCAATAGCTGTAATATGACATAGTGAGGATTTTTTTTTATAACTTAAACGCACCCATTGTTGTGTTAACAAGCTTTAGTTTCAAATTTTTATAAAAACCTAAATCATATATCACTCCATAAGAAAAAGGTGTGTTCTACTAACAAGCGAAAGTGTGAAAGTGGTTGGTAGAGCAGTATCGGGTAACTGGTATAACATGTGAGCACTTTGTTTTTACCCAACAGACATCTCGGTCATGGGATGTTATGGGTTTTCTTTAAAGTATCACCGTCAGCTGTATTTTATCCCATTCCTTTTATGTGATTATTATCAAAACGAAAACAAATAATCCAGTTTCTGTATGTACCTTTGATCGCCTGTCAGATTGGCATAAAGTATATGAGAGAAATAACTATAGGCAGGCAACAGAGAAAACATTGTGAGTCTAAATGTGTTTGTTTTGTACCTCATCACGTTTTTTCAAAAGCTTTTATTTTAGTTTTAATTTTAAAAAATGACAGCTAACAATTTAATTACTGAACCACAGAGAGAAGCAGCATGTCAGCTTTGTTATTCCCTAAATAAATGAAATGAAGAAATACTGGCGAGTGTGTTAAACAAAATAAATAGATGAAAATAAATAAAATTAAACCATGTGTTTCATTTTAGCTTATGGCCATACCACCTTGAGCTCACAAATCTGTCTGAATTTAGAACTAAACATTTAAAACAAATTTTCCAGTAAAAATCTATTTAGCTTCAAGTTACTCAGTTTTAGTGAGTGTGTGAAGGATGGAGAGGGGTTATCCCAGTTTCAGGTACTTTAAACTTGACGAGTGATTGTTTCATCCAAAAGACTTATTATCACTGTGAGAAAAAGAGCCACATATGACACTAATCAGCTGTAGGCTAATTATCCTTGTGTGTGTGTGTGTGTGTGTGTGTGTGTGTGTGTGTGTGTGTGTGTGTGTGTGTGTGTGTGTGTGAGAGCTTTAGGCTAATTATTCGTGTGTGTGTGATCACCAGTGAAGGGCAGGGAGGGGGCATCACAGTTTAAGCTGGTTTCAGGCACGTTAAAGTTGATAAGGGATTGTTACTAACCAACAGGCCAATAATGATTATGAAAAGAGATCTGCATATGAAACTGTGCTATTTATAAACAAAAGGCAGGCACTGTTTAAAAAAATCTGTGGCAATCCTTCAGCTTTAGAAGCAGAGGAATCTTGTTTGGCCAGAGGAACTCACCTGACAACAGGACTGCCCTCCTCCTTCACATTCTCTCGCAAAAAACAGAGCTGTGTCACTCTGCAATTGAACCTGTCCACCGAAAGACTTTTCTCTCCTGGTGTAGACGAAGCTGCTAGACAATGGGGAAGATTGGCAAGGAAACGGCAGGTCAGGTCATAAGCTTCATAGGCGTCATTGGGGTGGCAGTGGCCTGTGGGATCCCCATGTGGCGAGTTACCTCTTTCATTGGAGCCAATATTGTTACAGGCCAGATTGTATGGGATGGTCTGTGGATGAACTGTGTGATGCAAAGTACTGGACAGATGCAGTGCAAGCTGAATGACTCTCTCCTGAGCCTGACGACTGATCTGCAGGCTGGCCGAGCACTAGTCATCATCTCACTTCTCTTTGGATTTATTGGCTTTATCATCTCGTTTGTTGGAGCCAAGTGTACCAGCTGCCTGGAAAAAGATGCATCAATGGCAAATGTGGTGATCATAAGTGGCTGTCTCATCATTATCTCTGCTATCCTGATCTTAATCCCCGTCTGCTGGTCTGCAGCTTTCACCATCTCAGACTTTCAGAACCCCTTGACTGTAGCAACACAGAAAAGGGAGATTGGATCTGCTATCTACATTGGATGGGGCTCAACTATACTTCTTCTGATTGGTGGGATCATCTTAACCACCTCCTGTCCTCCCCAAAAACAAATGTATGGATACCCTAGCTACCAACAACCGGTGTATGCTTATTCAAGACCAAACTCAGCTGCATATGGCCGTGTGTATGCTCCACCATCCAACCAACCATACACAGTCGCAGGTGGTTATGCTCCCAGCAAGCCATATGCAGCACCAGCCTCATATCCTGCTTCACAATATCTATAAAAATGAAGGAAGAGATCAAGGACAGAGACTGAAAACCTTGCCCTGACAGCTGCTGGACTTTCAAATGACCACTGGGAAATACAATCACACGAAAATATCAGATGTACAGACGGCATTATTCTGATACACTGATGTAAAACAACTAGACTTCTACACATACTTTTACCTTTAAGATTGTGAAGCTTTGATGTAAAAGGAATCTGTGTGTGTGCTGAAAATTGCATTGCTTTTCACAAGGAAGTCACTGTCTGATGTATTTATTTCCTTGTTATGAACTACAGATTTAGCAGTGTGCTTCTTTTCTGTAACTGCCACTTTATCTTGTACATTTTCATATGAATTTCAATAAAAACATTTGTCTTACCTGTAACCTGCCTGTTTACGGAGTCATTGTTTATTAAAACATCATGAACAATTATCTACATAAAAAAATAAGTTCAGATCCGTAGATCTACACCTACGTAAATTTTCTGCTAAAATCTTTAAGAAATTGATAGGTAACAAATGATATTAGTGTCTGATTCTACACCACAAAATAAAAATAAAAATCACAAGGAGTGCGGTTTAATCTTTGATAATAATGTAAAATATTGATAGTGATATCAACAGAGTGGAAACTAAATTGGGAAAAAATCAACTCGATTGGTACAGCATTTCTGATAAATTAAAAAAATGAAAATAAAAATATACAAAACAATACATTGACTCAAAGCTATGATCAATTTCTATTATGTCTAAGGACACCTAAAGTAGGAAGGCATCTTGTTAGAGAATGCCTTGACATCCATTGAAACTAACACCCGTGTTTGTTTGTAAAGCCCGAAACCAGTGACCTGCCCAACCAATGGTTGACCAGTGCAGAGGATTGTTGGAATGAGGAATTTTTACAGTCCTCATTTACATACTGACGTGCATCTGATCGAAACTAAGTCTAGTCTGCGTACAGATAATGTGAAGAATCTGGCTGGACTGGTAAATCATTCCTGGTAGTGGTTTCAGGTCAGAGGGAAGGATCATTTGACTCCACCTTCAAGAGAGCAGAAGCACCTTTATATGTGCCATGATCTTAGTTAGAGTTCACAACCTAAGTGGACGTGCTCGTGAAACCTTTAAATCCTTTGCTTCGTTCATCTCCAAGGGACTCAAGCCTCATCATGGTGTCAATGGGACGACAGATGCTGGGCTTTGCCCTGGCAATCATTGGCTTCGTGGGGACCATCGTCACTTGTGCCTTGCCTATGTGGAGGGTCAGCGCCTTCATTGGAGCCAACATTGTGACGGCGCAGATTATCTGGGAAGGTTTATGGATGAGCTGTGTCATGCAGAGCACTGGCCAGATGCAGTGCAAAATCTATGATTCTCTGCTGGCTCTTTCTCCAGATCTCCAGGCTGCCAGAGCTCTTGTGGTCATTGCTATCTTGGTTTCTTTTATGGGGGTTATCGTCGGCATTATTGGAGGAAAGTGCACCAACTTTGTGGAGGAACCAAGAGCCAAAGCCAAAGTGGCCATTGCTGCTGGAGCTATCTTCATCTGTGCTGGTGTGCTTGTTCTCATCCCTGTATGCTGGTCTGCCAACTCCATCATCCAAGATTTCTACAACCCTACCCTGATAAGTGCCCAGAGGAGAGAGATTGGGGCTGCACTCTACATTGGCTGGGGCACAGCTGCACTTCTAATCCTGGGTGGTGCCCTCCTCTGCAGCTCCTGCCCACCCAGAGAGAGCCCAGAGTATCCAGTGAAGTATGGCGGTCCCAGGTCCACAGCCACCAGCCGAGCCTATGTCTGAAATTCTACTGAGAAGGACTATAAATTATTTTAATTTTCTTCAGTAACACTCCTTCATTCTGATTGTCTAATTATACCACAATTTGTATGTCACTTTCTGTGTTAAGGTAACAAACTATTCTGACTTTCTGTGAAATTCAGAATTCTTTGGTAGACACATGAGGGTTGTGTTTCTTAGACATCAAAAGTCCAAAGATGTGTGAATCACAGAGCTTCCAGCACGCCCCAAATCTGGACTGAATGAAACTATTTTATACTGAGCTTGTATCAAACCTAACTATCCTCTGAAGTCTTGTGGGAAATCAAACCTGTGCTTGAACGATGCTATGCAAGTAAATGTGTATTGTACTACAGTTATATTATGAATTTGTTGTAAACAATATTTAGAAATATCTCTATTCAGCTGCAATATGAAAGTACTGCTTTTGTTTACTGAGCTGATTTGTAATAAAACATTTTACCTAATTATATAATTTTGTTGGTGTCCTTTTAGATCACTCAGAAATTTGTTTACTGGTTTAAATGAGGTGTTTTTCTTTTTGACAATAATGTATTTATCATTACACAGAGCCTAAGCAGTTAAAACATTTAGCCTTTGTTGCCGCCTTCATGGCAACAAAAGCTAAATGCTCCTTCGTGGCACCTTTTAACAAGTTTAGCCAGTTTCACACCAATACTGCCAGCGATACCCTTTTCATAAAACTGGTTTTGTGTGTTAGTCAATGAGTAAATAGAACACCCATAACACCCATAAGACACTACAAGTTAAAAAATAATGTCAATTAAAAGGCATTTAGTTCTGCTTTGAATGTAAGCTATATAGTAGAGATGGCACGATACCACTTTTTTATGTCCGATACCGATACCGATATCATAAATTTGGATATCTGCCGATACCGATATGAATCCGATATAGTGTTTTTTAATCAACAAAACTGTTTTTTAAATATCTTGCTGCATTTTGTATAAGTTCATACTCAAGTTTAAAACAACAACTACACTAAAGCTATTCTGTTATACCTGTATGCAAAAGAGAATATTTCATAGTTCAGCAATACTGATCAATCTAATAAACTTAAACCTACACCATCCTCCCTATTCTGGTATTTTAAAGAGTACTTAGCATAAATATTAAGCAACCTAACTAATAGGGTTCCAACTCCCAGCAACAACAAAAATAAATAAATAAAAAATAGGGAACCACCCCTCACGCGCCACCTCATGATGCTTAATCGACGTAATCAACCTTAATTTGATGCAGTGTGAAAAAAAATGCACAGAAATCAATTATTTTTCAAGAAATATTAAATAGATTCAACAGCTTTCTTCAACAAAATTGCAGACTGCACAGATGGTACCTTCCCAAAGGAAAAAGTACTATAGCTTACTAGGGTATATATATTAAACTTAATAGTTACTATATTAGATTAGATTAGATAGAACTTTATTAATCCCTCGGGTGGGTTCCTCTGGGAAATTCGATTTCCAAAAAAGCACAGCACCGACAGAAGTTACAGAGTTACAGAATATTATATATATATATATATATATATATATATATATATATATATATATATATATATATATATATATATATATATATATATATATATATATATATACATATATAATACACACACACACACATATATATATATATAAATACAGAGACAATATAAATAAAATATACGAAGGGGATAAATAGAATAAATAGGAATAAAAATAAAAATACAAGTGAATTGCACATTTCAAGTATTGAGTCTATTGCACCGTTGACTATTTACAAAAGTATTGCACAAAGGTATTGCACAGTGAGGTGAAGAGGCACTACAGCTTAGTTGTTCCCTCCTTTGTCCTCCTGTTTCCCCTCCCTCTCCCCTCCAGGGAGGAGTTAAACAGTCTGATGGCGTGTGGGACAAAGGAGTTTTTAAGTCTGTTAGTTCTTGTCTTTGGGAGAAGCAACCTGTCACTGAACAGACTCTTCTGGTTGTTTATGGCCGTGTGCAGAGGATGTCTGGCATTGTCCATAATGTCCATCAGTTTCTTTAATGTCCTTTTCTCTGCCACTGTCACCAGAGTGTCCAGCTTCATGCCGACCACAGAGCTAGCCCTCCTGATCAGTTTCTCCAGCCTGCATGAGTCCTTCTTTGCTGTGCTGCTCCCCCAGCACACCACAGCATAGAAAAGTACTCCAGCAACCACCGACTGGTAAAACATCCTCAGGAGCTTCCTGCAGATGTTAAAAGACCTCAGCCTCCTGAGGAAGTACAGTCGGCTTTGGGCTTTTTTATACAGGTGCTCTGTGTTGCATGACCAGTCCAGTTTATTGTCCACCCACAGCCCGAGGTACTTGTACTTGTTGACCACCTCCACCTCCTCCCCCTCTATCTGAACCGGCAGTGGACCTGCTCTAGACCTCCCGAAGTCCACAACCAGTTCCTTAGTCTTTGAGGTGTTGAGTTGCAGGTGGTTTGTGTGACTCCATGCGACAAAGTTCCTCACCAGACTTCTGTACTCCTCTTCCTGATCATCCCAGATACACCCCATGATGGCTGTGTCGTCTGCAAACTTCTGAATGTGGCATAATTCAGAGTTGTAGCAGAAGTCAGAGGTGTACAGGGTGAAGAGAAGAGGGGACAGCACAGTTCCCTGTGGTGCTCCTGTGCTGCTGACCACAGTGTCAGACGTGATGTCCTTCAGCCTGACGTACTGTGGTCTGTCGGTGAGGTAGTCGGAGATCCAAGCCACCAGGCAGGGGTCCACCTCCATCCTGTTCAGTTTTTCTTGAAGCATACAGGGCCGGATGGTATTAAAGGCACTGGAAAAGTCAAGAAACAGGATCCTGACCGTGCCTTTTCCCCCATCTAGGTGTGAGTGGGCTCTGTGTAGGAGGTACAGGATGGCATCCTCCACTCCGACACCCACCTTGTATGCAAACTGTAGTGGGTCCTGGGCATGTTGTACCTGTGGTCGGAGGAGGTTGAGGAAGAGCCGCTCTAGAGTCTTCATAAGATGTGACGTCAGTGCCACCGGTCGGAAGTCATTCAGCTCATTGGGCCGGTTCTTTTTGGGGACTGGGACGATGCAGGATGTCTTCCATAGGGCGGGCACTCTCCCCAGTCGCAGACTGAGGTTGAAGACTCGTTGTAGCGGCTCCCCAAGTTCAGCAGCACACGCCTTTAGCATCCTAGGACACACCTTGTCTGGGCCTGCTGCCTTTCTGGGGCGAAGCTTCCTCAGTTGTCTCCTGACCTGATCCACTGTGACACTGGGAGATGTTTGGGAGGAGGGGAGGGGGGAGATGTCTTGCTGCTGAGAGAGGGATTGGAGGAGGGGGTGTCATGGTGTCAGGAAGGGGGGAAGCGAGGGAGGTAGGAGAGTGGGGATTGGACTCTGTAGTGAAGGTGAGGGTGGGGGGGTTGTGGGCTGGTCAAACCTGTTGAAGAAGTTGTTAAGTTCGTTTGCCTTCTCCACAGTCCCCCCCACTGTGCTTTTCTTGGTGTTGTGGCCTGTGATGGTTTTCACACCATTCCAGACCTCCCTCATATTGTTCCTCTCCAACTTCTGCTCCACCTTCCTCCTGTAGGTGTCCTTTGCTTCCCTCAGGCAGCGTTTCACCTCCCGCTGTGCTGCCTTCATCTCCTCCTTCACTTTGCTCCTGAAAGCCTTCTTCTTCATGCTGTGTTACCCACGGTTTGTTATTAGGATAACACCGTACCGTCTTAGCAGGGGCGACCGTGTCCACACAAAAGTTGAGGTAGTCTGTAAGACAGTGTGTCGCCCCCTCTATGTCCTCACCATGTGGGCTCAGGAGCACATCCCAGTCTGTGTTGTCATAACAGTCCCTCAGAGCATCCTCCTTTTCTGGGGTCCATCTCCGGATGGAGCGCGTTGTGACCGGCTGCCTTTGGACGAGGGGTGTGTATTGTGGCTGTAGGTAAACCAGGTTGTGGTCTGACTTCCCTAGTGGGGGAGGGGGTGGCTCTGTATGCATCTCTCACATTAGCATACAGTAGGTCAATTGTCCTGTTGCTCCTTGTGGGACAATTCACAAACTGGTGAAAAGCAGCCAGAGTAGAATCCAGTGTGGCATGGTTAAAGTCTCCAGATATAATAATGAAAGCCTCGGGGTTTTGTGTCTGAAGTCTTGCTGTGACTGTGTGTATTTTCTCACAGGCAGCTGTTGTGTCGGCCCTCGGAGGGATGTAAACACACACACAGATCACATGACTGAACTCCCGAGGTAGATAATATGGCCGCAAGCTAACAGCTAGCAGCTCCAGGTCCGGACGGCATACCGAAACTTTAACGGAGACGTGTCCAGGGTTACAGTATCTGTTGTTAACGTAGACAATGAGTCCCCCACCTCTGCTTTTTCCGCTGGCCTGCGTGTCCCTATCGGCTCTCACGGATGTGAAACCGCATAGGTCTACGTTAGCCTGCGGCGTTAGCTCGGTTAGCCACGTCTCCGTGAAGATAAACAAGCTGCACTCACGGTATAGTCTGTGGTTGTTCAGAGCGCACAGTTCATCAATCTTATTCTGTAACGAGTTCACGTTGCCCATGATCACTGTCGGGATTGATGGTTTGAATCGCCTCCGGTGATCCGCTCTCCTCGCTCCAGCTTTGCAGCCTCTGTAGCTCCTCTTTAGCTCGGCCGGGATGTTGTGTCGCATGCCGGTCTGTCCCTTTGTTTATATACAGTAATTGACTTCTATTCATTTTACATCAAATTAAAACTTTGGGTGTCAGATAATTAATTATTAAAAACAAGACATTTTAAATGAGAATAAGAAAGAAAAGTATGTCTTTGTGCCCCCTTTTCCCTGTTAATGCCCTATCGGCCCCCCTGGCTAAACTTTGCTAGATCCGCCCCTGCACAGTTACAGCCGTCAGCTACGTAGAAAAAGATCCTCGAGTAGAAAGTAATATTAAATAAATTCTAACAACAGCTGATCAAGCTTAAATGTGCTGCTGTTGTTCAGCTGCTGGTTTCCTCTTTCTGGTGCAAAGTGGGCCAAAAGCAAACAAGAGACACGGACTCGCGACAGAAAAGCCGATCAGCTGATCATTGATCAGTTTCATGATTGAAGTAGCAGCAAGAAGAGGCAGTTGCTTTACTTCTCTCGGGGATAACTTTGTCGGAGATGAAATGCCAGGTAGCTAGCGAAGCTCCACATGCTATCCAGACCACCGACAGGTCCCGCATGCCACAGCCGCTCTATCACGTGATGCATACTGAGTTACGGCGTGTTGCAAGTTTTGTGAGGTGCTTTCGTGATATTTAATGGATCGGATTACATTTTTAATTTTTCTCCGATATCCGATCCAGTAATTTAGGTCAGTATCGGACCGATACCGATACGTAATATCGGATCGGTCCATCTCTACTATATAGTGAAAAAATGAAGTAGAGCGGTGGCCCATAGATGTGTTTTTGGAGACCTA